AAGAGTAGAATTTATGCGAAACTCCCATATAACATACTAAATAAGCCAAGGGTCCAGATGCTTCTTCAGGCAGAAAGAGGCCCTGGGTAGAACCATGTTCCAGGAAGGCCTCCCCATCACTGCTTGAGTTCATTATTGCTCTCTGATACCAGAGACAATCAGTTCATTATTTTGACACAGTTTTAGAGCTGCACTTCCAATTGCCTGTTACTCTGGGCAAGGGGTGGAAGTTCCATGGCAGAGTAGAAATGCTCCCTCTGTGGTGAAGGAGGGACCAGGGCACCACCAGGCCTTATTGTAAAGGACCTGCCTGCCATCTTCCAGTAGCGGCCATGCTGAAGGCCAGAGCTTTAGTACATGGACCTATCGGGACATTTAAGATCTGACCTGTAGCAGGCAGGGCTCATCCCAACATTTTGCTCTGTTCAGTTTTTGTTCTTTTCAAAAGAGACAGGCCCTTCTGACAGTCAGTGGATTGTCTATTTCTTTTTATCACTGAGCAGTATTCCATGGTACAGCTGTATCACAGTTTGGTGGCTGGTTAACTGTTGCAGGGTCTGCAGGTCGTCCCTTCAGCTTTCTTTCCAAGTGAAGCCATTTCAGCATTTTTGGGCAGATTTTTGTGGGAAGCGAGGTTTTTTGGCTTCTCTGCGATGACGCACAGGCCTGTATGATGCACAGAGCTGTAGACACTGTGCCCTATGGTAGTTGGGAAGTTTCTGTCTTTGTTTTTGCTTGGTTTTTTTTTTTCATACACTGCTGAGCTTCCAGAGTGGGTGAAGGGATTTTGAGTCAAACAGTTTCACAACCAGTGCTTCCTGAAAGGCAGCTGTCAAAGCTGACAGCCGTGTGAACTGTAAGGGAGCTGGATGTGGCATCATGGGGAATCTTTTTCTTAGCCTTTGAGATAAAGGAGCAGCGTTTGCTCTTTGTAAATTTCAGGGTCAGCTCTGGTGTTCTTGCTCTGTGGAGACAGTTTCCTCCTGTGTGCTTACACATAGTCACACACTTCAAGCTCTAGTAAGATTTCTATTAGCGCATCGTATGTGCCAAAAAGTGGAAATGGAGCTCACTGCTGTTGTTTAGCAAAACTGATTCGGCATCAGGCTCCTTCCAAATGGTTATGTTTACAGCCATAGACAACGGCTGCTCCCACCCTTAATCGGAGAAGCCTCACTCGGCAGCGAGGGCCAGTGACTGCAGAGGAACATGGCTGCTCAAGATGCTGAGAATTAAGTTATGGTTGAGTGGCAGTCCCAAACAGGGCATTTATACCACTTGCTCTTAAAGGGACATTACAGAAGAGTGGGGAGGAGGGCTGTGAAACACTGTCTTCTGCGAGACACAACCAGGGCAGCCGTGATTTCCCGGAACTGTGACTTCCTGCAGTGGGCTTGCACAAGACCGAGCCTGTCAGCAGTCGGTCATACTGCCTGTTGGCTACTGAGAGATTCTGGGGGAAGCACAGCGGGTGTCTTTGTGTGTCCACTGATCAACCCCCCGGGCTCTAGTGGACAGATCCAAACACAGGTGACCCCAGATAAGCCCAGTGGGTCATAAAACGAAGCAAGAGGACATGAATGTGGGAAAGGGACTAGTAGAGAGGCGTGGGGACAAGAGGTGAGAAGGGGATGAAAGGAGTGGGAGAGGGTAACCAAGATGCCCGAGACTCTCAACAGACTTAAAAATTACAAGCCATGGAGAAATTATAAAAAAGGAACATCCTTTCCCCTCCTGGAAGAGACAAAATAAGATACATAAGCAAATGCACCATATAGAAATAGTTAAAATGAGGGTGTGGAAAGAGCTTGCAAGAGCTGATGGGGAAGGAGTCACCCCGAGACTTGGCAGGGTTCCAGAGAGAGGACTCCACAGAGGACAGTGTGCTGAGGAGGAGAGGGGAGGATCTGCTCAGATGGCGGCCTTGGGGAGTCAAAGGGACTACAGATGTTTCCCACTTGGCATAATTGGTAGCACGAGGCGTTGCCAGCGCTTATGTACATGCACCGTGTGTGCTTGCAGAGGCAGGAAGAGGGAGCCTGAGCCATTGGGTTCCAGATGGTTGGGAGGCACCATGTGGGTGGTGGGGACAGGGCAGTGGGGTCCTCTGCAAGAGCAGAAAGTCCCCATCTCTGCAGCCCAAGCTTGTTGTTGGACCTACTCACTTTTGTGGGGATTAGTGAGGTCTTGTGAGGTTGCTCAGTTCTTGCCAGGGATATCTTCAGTGACCTGAACACTTCTGTTAGGCGCTTCCCCAACGCCATCATGCTGGGACCAAGCTCCCAATGCTAAGGCCTTTAGGGGACACCTAGACACATGGCTTAGCCCTGAGAAGTGCTTAAAGCTCATAGTGAATTCTGGCAGAAAGAGGAAGGAAAGACCCTGTTAGGCTGGCTGACAGAGGAGCAACGGGGATTGGAAAGTGGGGCCAGGCCTGCCTTCCCTTCCACAGAACTCACCTCATGAAATCCTTCTCTTGCTGAAATCACTTAGTTCACCATTCACTGTTCAAAAGTGAAGAAGAACTTGGATTTTCTTCTCTTATTAATTGTAAGTTGTTAGCAGTAAGCAGATGGCAGGCTGGTTCTGCAGTTTTATCGTATTAATAGCTAATGCTTTTGAACATGTTATGATGCTCACTGATCGTCCTATGGGCCCACTGTCAGCAGCTGACAGACACAGAAGGTCTCCAGACTGGTCAGTGGCCAGCAAGGACTTGACCCCCAGGCCCACTGTGGGTCTGTGCTTCTAATTAGTGTTGCAAGTTCAAATGAGCATTTATTTCATGGCAGCAAAGACATGTTTTGTGGGCGGAGATAATGTAGTTGTTATTATGTTAATTTTCCTTATGAAAAGATTTTGTGATAAAATGAAAATAAAGAACTAAAGATAGTTAGAGACTTGGGGAACAGCTGAAACAATAGTCTTAAGATAAGTGTTGTCTTAGTCATTATGTGGGAGGCTAGCAGTACCATATATTTTCTTGAGGAGAAGAAAAATTAGAATAAACGCTGCCATATCAGAGAGCAAAGGCTGTGAAAGTCTTCTTACAAACAAGCTGGGAAACAAGAGGCTGCAGGGATTCTGGGTTATCACTGCTGCTTTCCTTTACCTCGCGCATCCTACACTGACAGAAAAGCTGCCCTGTTCAAAGGCTGGAGACCAGGATCCACGAGCCACCACAGGAAGTGGTGTCAGTACTAAGGGGTGTCAGTACTCAGGGGAGGCATGGTTGTCAGTTTATCTGAGGTTGAGTCAAGCCCTGTCCTGCCTGAATCCTGCTCCCAATCATGGCCATTCTTGTTAAATCTCTTAGAACTGATACTGGTTTTTACTTGCTGATGTAGGTGCATTTGAGATAGGTCTTCCTCTGAAGTCTAGGCCAGCCTTGAACTTGCCTCAGTCTCCCAAGTGGTAGGATTATGAGTGTGCACCACTTTGACCAATTTTTATGTTGCTTTTAAAATGAATACTCTATATTAAATATCAGTCATGGGGCAAGCAAGATGGTTCAGCAGGTGAAGGTGTCTGCTTCCAAGCTTGTCTCCAGATTCCACATGCTTTAAAGAAAGCTGACTCCCACAAGTTCTCTGATCTCTACATGTGCCTGTTTGTGTGATTTGTATGTACACACATACACACAGACACATGCTTATGCACACACTAAATAAATAGCAAATGCTGGCATGTGCTGTGGAGAAACCATGCCACAGAGAAGTCCACGTGGCACTGCCCTTTCTGGTCTTGGGAAGGCACTCTCAGTTTTAGATTTCTCAAGTGTGTTTCATACCTGAGATGTTTGGCCTGTTTGCCGTGTCCACCACTCTGCCCTTGTGGCTGTGTGGTGTGAGTCTCACCTGAGATGCCCTTATCCCACACCCCACATCCCTGCTCTGCCTGATGCTTCCTGTCATAACTCAGCAGTACAGTTTTTAATGGTTTTTGTTTTTTGTTGCTCTTTTCCCCCTTTAAAAAAAAAAAACTCAAAAAACCCACCACAATCAAATTCCAGTTTCTCACTCTCTCCTGCTTTCTTATCCTTTCTGGCCCTTGACTTCACGTCTTAGAGTGCTCATCACATGCAGTTTTTATGATGGGCCCTATAATTGTCTGCTCTGCCTCTCCTGCAAACATTGGAGGCTCTGCCAATATCTACAGAAGGGAGACAGAGAGCTCTTGCCTCTGGAGTTAAGTTCTTAACCCCTAGTGTCTTAGCAGCAAGGGCAGAAGGCCTTCAGAAGACGAGCAGGTGGGGGGTGTTGAGTCACGTTAGTGGAGATGTGTATGCAGAGCTAGCTGCTCTAAGTAATAAGACCAAGTGGAAGTGGGGCTGACGGACAGAACTAATTTATAACCTCTTTCATGTGTTTAATTGAAATGTAACATTTTTTTTTTCCTTTGGCATAAAAAGTGTTTCCCGGGTTTGCAGAGATGTTATTTTGATGTGCAGTGGGATGTGTCTTTCCCTTTATTTTGTATAGGGAGAGTATTCAAATCATACATGTTTTGAATTGTATTTTCCCCATAATGTAGAACAAAGTTTTCTTCTTTTAATTAACAAACAGAATTATCCTTGACTAAGATTTAAGAGACACTGCCTTTATTGAGGGCTCAGCTCAAGCAGAATGAGGAGCTGTGAGCCGCTAACAAACGCCACACTGTTGGTGCCCTGGGGATTGATTAGCCTTGAGAGTCCCGGGGGACATCGATGTGCAGGGGGCCACTAGTCAGTGGAGCAAGGCAACATAATTGATTAATTAGCCTTGAGAGTCCCGGGGGACAGTGAGGTACTAGGGTGCACCAGTCAGTAGAGCAAGTCGGCTGCTCACATTGGTGCTGCTGTTGCTCTGGGTGATACACGCGCCTTTGCTGTGGCTTGTAAGTCCTTTGTCCAGAGCTTGGCAGAGAGAACCTTTCTCACTCACCTGGAAAATTAATTTCCTTTATTATTTTTATTTCTAGTTTGTTTCTAATACACTTTTGTTTGCACTTGGCTTTAGGCAAACACACACCCCGCCAATGTTGGCCCCATGAGCCTCTGGGAAGTGCCGATTCACAATGGGAACAACCAGTGATGAGATGGTGCCCGTGGAGCAGGCCTCCTCGGCCTCCTCCCTAGATCCCCTGTGCTTCGAGTGTGGCCAGCAGCACTGGGCGAGAGAAAACCATTTGTACAACTACCAGGGGGAGGTGGATGATGACCTGGTCTGCCACATTTGCCTCCAGCCCCTGCTCCAGCCGCTCGACACACCCTGTGGACACACGTTCTGCCACAAGTGCCTCAGAAACTTCCTGCAGGAGAAGGATTTCTGTCCACTGGACCGCAAGAGGCTTCATTTCAAGTTGTGTAAGAAATCTAGCATCCTGGTCCATAAGCTTCTGGACAAATTACTGGTCCTGTGTCCATTTTCCCCCATGTGCCAAGATGTAATGCAGCGCTGTGACCTAGAGGCACATCTTAAAAACAGGTAAGCACAAGGGCGGCAGAGGCACTAAGGACGTGTATCATATGACCAGCAGCCAGACACGGGGCCAGGAATGGTGCCTTGTGCCTTATAATCCCAGCACAGATATGCTAAGGCAGGGGATGAGCACCAGTAAATACATGAACCAACCAAATAAGAGGTGCAGTAAATAAGTTGCATTGGTTCATATTTAATAATATACCTCAAAAGCATGAATATGGAAGCCACAATAAGCAAATACCACTTAGTAATATTTTCCTCACCATACCATGCAATTTAAACTCAAATGGGTGACATTAGAGTCCTTTGGCAAGTGGGGTTGGCATCAAAGGAAAGAACAAAGAAAGGAACTAAATGCAAATAAATTCTTTTGTCTAGTACATTTTCATAAGGAAGAGCTGTACATGACGATCTTACTCCAGCATGATGCATGGTTGGTACACTGGAGTCCGTCCAATTACCTAGGGTAGTGAAAGCCACTCAGGGCTGCGCTGGCCTTTGGCAGGCAGACCCCTGTGAGTTCTAGGCCACCCTGGTCTTCATAGTGAAAACTTGTTTCAAACAAAACAGACAACAAAAAGGGAGGTAAAGGGTAAATACACCCCGAACTCAGAGTCAGCGAAGACAGCAGTTCTGTCAGTGGGGAAGGCTGGAAATGAGTTGACTGGTTTAAGTTGCTGAGCTCTTGAAGATTCTGTGTTGAGAGCCTTGGCTGAGTAAGAACTAGGAATTAGAGGCAGAAATGTTTAAGGGTGATTTTTGTTCTAATAAACATTCGTTCAAAATGTTAAGTAATCTATTTGTATGACTAGCTGCTGAGTCTTACAATTTGATTTTAGTAAGACTTGGCCTTTGAAATAAATCATATAAAGCTGAGCTGGCCCCAGGGCTCATTGAATAAAGTCACTTTCCACTGAGTCAGACAACCTGAGTTCGATCCCTAGAACCCACAGGATGGATGGAGAGTACGAACTCCTGCAGCTTGTCTTCGGACCTCCTCCTCGTAGACACCCACGCAGGTACACTCACTCACACACGAGGAAGTAAAGAACCCATATCTTTAGACTCCAATCAAGTGACAGAAATTCATGTATTTGTTTCCACGCATCAGTTGAAACAACTTGTGTGGTCGTGTTGACTCTGGCCAACAGCACATTGCACATCATGCTGCATTCAGACACAGCATAGGTCTAATGTATAAAATCCTAGGCAGAGGCCGAAGACACGACCAGAGGCCGAAGACAAAACCAGAGGCTTGAATGTGCCAATCTTAGTCAAGCCTAATTGTGTGTGAATACTAGTTTAGCCCGCCCCTCCCTCCCTCCCTCCCTCCCTCCCTCCCTTCCTTCCTTCCTTCCTTCCTGTCTTTTTTTCTCTGTAATGCATCTTTTATTTTCTTTTTAAATTAGTACACAAAGTACTATCATGAGATCTTCATACTAGGCTTCTTATGTGTCTCACAACTATTATTAAGGTAGGATTCTTTGGTGTCATACAAACATGTATGACCAAACAATTGTGCTGGGTACTTGCCAAACAACATTGTATGTACAGCACTTCCCCTTCCAGTCTCTCCAGCCCAGCTCCACACCTAACATTCAAAACGAGAGATAATGCAACTGCTTCTTCGGGGAGTAAGCAAATGGTGCACTTGTGCGCTGGTTTACAGCAAGACCCAGATCTGCTTTCTTTGCTCCAGATAAGCTAAGAAGTTCTCAGCCTAGATAATCTCAAGCAGCCTGTGTCTTAAGTCTGCCGACTCCTCTCTGTGCTATGGAGCTCAGCGAGTTTGCTCTCGTTCACCGTGCTCCTCAGTACTGGGGCTCCCTGCGACAGTGTGTGCTTCTTTACTGTTTCCAGTGAGCTCTACTCTCCTGTTTGCCTTTAGTCATGCAGAAGTGGTTTTCCATAGTCCTTGAGTTTTTACAAATTTGCCATTGTCTGATTGTCGAGTATCGGGCTTCCTTTGGTCAGTTTCTGTTGCTCCTGCTTGTCCTGTGCCTGGATCTCACCTTCTCTGCCCCTTTCTTTCATGTCCAGCACTGGGTAGTTTATGTGGTGCAGCACATCACTGAGCGTCAGTCTTTTTGAGGGAGGTTTTTATTATATGCCCCAGACAGGCATGGAACCCCCAGTCCTGCCTCAACTCAATTCCAAATACTGGAATTACAGGCATGGGCCACCATGCCTAGCTTTATTTTATGTTTATAAGTACTGTGAGTTAAACCTAGAGCCTGATCTGCTATGCAAGCACTCTCCCAGTCTGGCTTGTTTTGGTTTGGTTTTAATTTTGAGAACAAGAGTAATTTTTTGCCCATGTCTGTCTCTTTGTCCGCTGCTGTGAAGGCCAGGCTAGCTGCCCTTGCACACTTCTGGTGAACCCCGTCCCCAGTTGCTAAGATTACTGGTACTTCATCAGCACTAGGCTTTTACACAGGTTCTGGGGTCCAAGCTCAGGTTCGCAGGACTTGAGCCAGCTCCCCCACCTACCTGCCACCTTTTTAAATCAATTATTTCTAGACTGCTGTGACCTTTTGCTGGTTTCCAGAATTCAGAAGTAGTTGGTTCTGATGATTTCTCCAGTCTCCTCCAGCTTTTATGGAGGGAAGACTTCAGGTAGCCTTGTTAGGTCCTTTTGCTCTCTGTCAAATTGATTTCTGTTTGTGTTGTATGTCTTTATCATTTTCCGTGATCCTAAGCCACTCACTGCTTCAGTCTCCTAGCATGGGGCTTAGCAAGCATCCCTTTGCCGTCTCCCCACCACTAATACTGCTGATAATGCGTAGTGCCTTCTGCTGTGCCATGTCTCCTAATGCTCCCGTGCACCTAGTAGCAGGGAATGGTGCCCCCATAGCATAAAACACGTTACTTTACATGTGATTTCCTTCAGCGAGCTGAGATCACATAGCCAGCAGGAAAGGAAAGCTTCTGTTTTGGCTCTTTGCTGCTACCCGAGCCCTTTGGTTTCTTTTTAATCAGGTGTTGGTGTGGACCTGTGCAGCTCCAGCCTGTGGTTGACTGTGTTGTCCTGACCACTGCTGCCTCAGAGCTCCACTTGGACCAGTGTGGTCTCAGCCATGCACGCACTCCTAGTCTGTTGGCTTTACTTACTGCTTTAAATGCTCTGTGCTAGTTTCTCATGTGCACTAGGTTGTCCCTGGAGTGCAAGCTGGAGTCTGTGTTATTGTTGAATGCTCCATTTCCAAAGATACGTAAGGGTTTTGCTGTGTTACCTGAGCCAGATTTAGACTCCCAAAGTCAAATGATCCTCTTGCCTCGGCTTCTGAATAGCTGGGTTGTATGTGGTTCTCTTGGGATGACCCTCTCCCACACCTGGCTCTGTTGGGATGACCCTCTCCCACACCTGGATCTTGGAGGTTTGGGGTCCTTTTATTTTGGTCTGTGTACACGTGCATGTAAAGCCAGAGGACAGCCTTGTGTGGTATGGTGTTGCTGAGGTACTGCCCACCTGTTCTTTATTTTGTTTGCTTGTTTTTGAGGCAGGGTTTCTCATTGGCCAGCAAGCATCAGGGGTCTGCCTGGCTGCCTGGCTCAGTAATCTCAGCACTGGGATTATAAACATGCTTTGTTTTAATATGGGCTCTGGGATTTAACTCAGATCTTCCTGCTTGTAAGGCAAGCACTTTCTGAAGCTGTCTCCTCCCAGCATTGGTTTGTTTGTTTGGAGACAGGGTCTCCAAAGAACATGGATGGCCCTGACTGGTCTGGAATTCCCTTTGTAAGCCAGACTGGATCCAGACTCAAGAGATTCACTTGCCTCTTTCTAAAGGTGTCTAAAGGTGTCACCATACCCAGCTTGGTTTTGTTGTTGCATGATTGCATGAGAGAGAGAGAGAGAGAGAGAGAGAGAGAGAGAGAGAGAGAGAGAGAGAGAGAGAGAGAGAGAGAGAGAGAGAGAGAGTGTGTGTGTGTGTGTTAAGAAGGCCCCTCATAGCCATGCTGGCCTTGAGTTCTGTACAGCTAGGTTGGCTTTGAACTGATCCTCCTGCCTGTGCCTCTTAAATGCTGGGATTATGGGCACATGCCACCACACCCATCTCAGCCTTTTGTTTTTAATGGTCACTTAGGTCTGGTTAGCCCTGATATTCCATAGTGATGTTTTGAATTCATAGTGGTAGAACAAATTCAATTTGTTTTTTTTTTTAGGACTTAAAAAGAATTCCACACAAATAAACTTAGTATTGCTGTTGAGGAAAATGCTAAAAGCCTTTGAAATCTGATCCGAGTGTGTTTGGACTATACCCCTTCAATTCAATTGCTTTGTGATGTTGGCTTAGCTCGGTTTCAAGTGTCCCGTGTGTATTAATACAACAGTCGTGAGGATGCGGGAGCTTTGTGCACATCAAAGTTGTTAAACGGGAACTAGCAGGGTGCAGCCTCCTGTGCTTCAGTTCTGTGTGTACCCAGCAAGGGACATGGCTCTGAGTAGCCTGTGCTTGTGTTTTTCTCTGTTCGAGCCCACTCTGAATTACTTCATCCTTGGCCTTTTAACAGCTTTGCTTTTTGCATTTCACATGTGAAATTCACCTCTTTAAAGTGTATGTCAGTGCTTCTTTGTATGTTCCCAGTGCTGTGTATCATCTAGATTCTAGAAAGGAGTATGAAACCCATTAGCAGCCCCTCCTCATTCTCACACACCCAGGTTTGAGTCAAGCTCCCCTACCTGAGTTTTCCCCGTAGACTCTGTAATTTCCAGTATTTGCTTTTTTGCTGGTTGACTTTTCATCAGCTTGACACAAGCTAAGGTTCTATGGTGAGAGAGCCTCAACTGAGGAGCCACCTCCATCAGGTTGCCCTGCAGGCAAGTCTCTGGGGGCATTTTCTTGATCAGCAGTTGATGTGAGTATTTCCACCCCTGGGTGGGTGAGTCCTGGATTGTATAAAGGGCAGGCTGAGCAGGCCGTGAAGAGTCTTCCATGGTCTCTGCTTCAGTTCCTGCGACCAGTTTCCTGCCTCAAGCACTTGTCCTGACTTCTCTTAGTGATGGACTGTAAGCTATAAAATGAGATGAACCCTCTCCTCCCCAGGCTACTTTTGGTTGAGGTGTTTATCACAGCAGAGAGAGCACACTAGGACAGAAATATTGACAGAAATGCTAGTGCTCTGGCCTGGGCCTCGACCTCCATTTCTCTGTGAACCCCCTGCCTTAACCCTGTCCTCTGAGTGCTTGGAGCATAGGCGTGCACACTAGGTACCGCTCAACTCAGACTGACACTTTTTGGTCCTTGTGTCTTGCAAGATTGTGTCCCTGAAATTGAACTAGGACCTTAGCCATGCTAGGCAAAAGCCCTGCCTCAGGCCACACCTACAGCCCTGGGTCTTACCATTGTAGCAGTTGGTTCTCTTGGCTGTTTCTTTGTGGGCCCTCTGCTCTGCCTTGATTAGTTTGCTGTCTTCCACTCATATGCACGGTGGCCCTGCCATGATCTACTGAGCTATGGTCTATCCTGTTGAAGTGCGGGTGTTCCCAAAGGTTCTATCTATAGACTTCCTCCCCTGAAGCCATGTTCCCCGTGGTTTTCCGTGATGCCATTTTAGTCTTTTCCTGTTTTATGGGTGGTTTCCTGTTGTTAAGGATTTGCTTGTCCCATCGGGAATGTGAGCATGCTTCCTTTTTCCTTTCTAGCAAGCTTAGATTTTTCCATTTTAAATTCATTTGGTTTATGTATTCAGTAGCAATAGGACAGGTGTTGTATACCTTGTAGGGCTGTTAGTTCAGCTAATCCTCCTGACCTTATCCACACACGAGCCTGTACATGAGAGAGCGTGCAGCAGTCGTCTTTCTGCATCAGCTTATTGTGCAGCGTGATGTCGGCTCCATCCGTTCTCCTGCACGTGTCATGGTTTTCAGTTTTCATGGCTGAAGAACATTTCATTATGTGTGCATGCAATCTTCTTTATTCGTCGTTACTGGATGTCTGGGTGGTTCTCTTTCAGAGCTACTGTGAATAATACAGCAATAAGCAGGGATGTGCAAGTGTCCCTGGTGCGTTGATGTCATGTATGCCAGAGGTGTGTACCAAGAGTGGCATAGCTGGATTCTGATTTTCACTTGCTGTTTCTGTGGGCTTGTTTCAATTTTGGAGGAGTCTCGACACTGACCCCCCACTGAGGCTGCACATTTATATTCTCGGAAGCAGCAAATCATAGGCCCCTCTTTCTCCACACTCTTACAGTGCTTGTTGCCACTTGTGTGTTTTCTTGGTGGAGGCCATTTCTGCTGGGGTGAGAAGATGTCTCAGGACGCTCAACAGTTTTTTGAGTAATAATGCCTACCTGTGTTCATTCTATGTGAACTGTCTGTTCTTTTCATCAGCCCATGTATTCATCAGTGATTTGAGAGCTTGCTAAATATGACCCCCTTGGCTGATGTGTTCTTGATGACAAGCTTTCCCCGTTCTGTAGACTCCTCACTCCATCCCCTGGAGGGGGGTCATGTGTGAGCCCTTCATCGGCTGCTGGGTTTATGGAACTCAGCTCTGACCCCAGCTTCAGTCACACCGCTCTCTTGGCTCCACTTGTTTCCCTCACAGGGAGCTTTCAAATGTGTCTCTGGTTAATCCACCTATAGGCCTTGTGCTCCTTGATCTCTCTTTCAAAAATATTTGCCAGACATCCTCGAGAACAGTTCCTGGAGTTTTACACAGCAGTGCAAGATGGAAACTCAGCTGTGCCCCTCCATTGCAGCGTATAGGAGACAGTAAATGAGAGAAGAAGGAAGGGGGAGGCACTTCCCTGTTCACCCTTCTCAGGACTCGAAAGCATAGTTTTATACCTATATATACATGCTTGGTTTCTGTGGGGAAATGTGCTGCTTTATGGCCCAGGCTAGTTTTCAGTTTTAACTGAATCTGTCCTATACTTTGTGATGATGAAAATTTTGGAATTTTTAAATACTGTCGTTGAATGCAAGTCTTTGACTCTCAGTGTGTGATCTGCCATGGCTCTGGCCTTTCACCGACTCTGTTCGTGTTTTCCACCCTTCATACTGCATGTTACTGGTCACCGCATCCAGCCAGTGTATAGGTAAGAGGAGTGTTGGTATACCCTGGCCTCCTTCTGGAAGACCAGCAAGAGGAGCTTTTGTCTAAACGTGTCATTGATTTTGAGTATAAATGAAATTTATACTTGAAATTCAAATTTAACAAACTAAGGAAATACATTTTGTTTTGTGTGTTTTAGCATAGGGCAGATTGGCTTAGCCGTGTGTGAGTTGTAAAGCTTCCTGTATGTATTTGCCCACAAGTGTGGCAAGACACAGTGGCACATTCACATGAAGAAGCCTGCAGATTGCCACCCCTGGCTGAGACACCTGGCCGGGGAAAAGCACTGTTTGGTCCAGATTTCACACCCATTCTTTCAGTATAGCAGACAGGACTCTTGGGATACTTCCAGGAACTAGTGTCTACCTGAGTATTGGCTTTTGGCTGTCATTGTCTTCATGTCTTTCCTCCAGGTAGAGTAGTGAGAACTTAGTTTGTACAGAGATTAGGATCAGAACTGTGTGCTGAATTGTGGGTACTTTAGGCTCCCTTGTGCATAAGCAGTTGCTGTGTATTTGTTCCGGTATACACTGTTAATTAACCCCACCCACCCTCTCCTCCATACCCAACTTTTCCATCTCTTCTGAAAAGCACCTGCCACTCTTCCTAGGTGTCCTGGAGCCTCTCACCGGAGAATCGATCTAGAGAGAAGGAAAACTAGTCAAACTCAAACACAGATTGAGAGTGAAAGTGGATCCACTGTAATAGATCATTCAGGCACCTCGCCCACAGAAACGGAGTGTTTGGGCACCGTGCCTGGAGAGAGAAACTCAACACCGGCACCTCTTCCTGTGTGGACCGAGGAGCCTGGCCTGGACAACCCTGCCTTCGAGGAGAGTGCTGCAGCTGACTGTACGTGTGGCACACCTCTCCCTGATGTATCTGGTCCCCTTGCCTTTCCTCCTCTGCCCTTCCAGCATGCACTTGTGTCCTGTCGAGACAGTTGCACTGGAGTATGGTTTGTGTGACACATCATTCTTCCTCTGCACCCAGCAGCTCTCGCTGGCTGCAGTCCAGAAATAAAGCGAGAGTCTTACCTAGAGGAAGGTGGTCTTCCATCCTTCCCCACTGGAACTCGCTACTCTCATGTGTGTGATCAGAACTGTGTTTACATCAGCAGCAAAACCACAAACGTAACACAAACAACTCAAAAAGTCACTACACGAAACACTATGTTAATTAAGTAAATGTGTGTAGCATTAAGAATTAAACGAAACCAGGTTAAAGCCCCTGAGCCTTGAAAGATGAAGGCTCAGGTGGTTGGCTACTGTGTATCTGGGAATATATCACGGGACCTCACACCCCAGCTACCTGCACACCCACCAGGAAGCACACAGAGCCTGGGCTGCTGGTACTTCCAGAACTCATTTTCTCTAAGAAACCATAAGTCATCCTCCATGTTCCTATGTTTCTTGACATGTCTGTGACACTTTTCGCCCCTTACCACTCAGTGCAATTGTGTCCTTTTCTCTGCTCCTCTGGGGTTATTCACCAGACCACAGCGTTTTGTTTTGTTTTGTTTTGTTTTCCTACAGCCTTACACTATCTGTTCTTGGTTCTCTGTTAGTGTGTGGTCCCTAGTACATAGTAATTATTTACTGGTGCGCCTGTGGAAGGAGAAACTTTGGCTGATGTGAACCGTGTTTTATTGGCATAGTCATTGTTCATCTACCAGATCCTGTGTTGAGCTGCAGAGTCTCTGAACGCAAACACTGTTCTCTCTTTGACTTGGCAGCTGTACAGCAGCCGCTTAGTTTACCAGAGGGAGAGATCACCACCATTGAGATCCACCGTTCTAACCCGTACATCCAGTTAGGAATCAGCATTGTGGGCGGCAACGAGACACCACTAATCAACATCGTCATTCAGGAAGTCTACCGGGATGGAGTCATCGCCAGAGATGGAAGGCTCCTTGCTGGAGACCAGATTCTTCAGGTAACAGCTCCACTACAACTTAGACAATTGTGATGTTGTAGAAACTGAATTATAGAAAAGTTAGTTTTGCTGGTTTTGTGTGTGTCTGTGTGTGTGTGTGTGTGTGTGTGTGTGTGTGTGTGTGTGTGTGTGTTGAGCCAGGGTCTTACTATGAAGCTCTGACTGGCCTAGATCCTGATAATGTAGATCAAGTTGGCCACAAATTCAGTTACCAGCCTCTGCCTCCTGTATCTGGAGCTAATGGTCTACACCACCATACCCAACTATTTTCTTCTCTCCCTTTAATTCCAGTCTTATGTGTGATTGAGCGCTTGGTGTGGGGCTCCCTGGCGTGTGGGACACTGGACACATCTGGCTTGGACTCTTTGGCTATTCTAGGGCCACCACTGACCAGGCTACAATTTTCTTTCCCATTGGTTCTATTTCATACCCAGCTTTTTTGTCTATCTCGTCCCTGCATGTCTGACTGGTCCTTCCATTCCTTGATGGCCAGACAGTAACAGACAGACCTCCCCAGCACTGATTGGTGATGATAATTTTTTGCCCCATCCTGGGAATTCAACCCAGGGCTGTACACATGCTAGGCAAGCACTCTGCCACTGAGTTACACCTCAGCCTGAGTTAAACAAGTTTGTAGTGCAGAATGTTGGGTAAATTCAGAACAGTCATTCCCTGATGCCCTGCCAGCATCCAGCTCTGGGTGTTCAGTCACTGCTGTTGTCTCCCAGAGTACTGCCTTTAGGAAGAAAACAGGTGTTCTCCCCAAAAGCACTAGCAGACCAAATATTTTTCTATAATTAGAAGACATTACAGAAAGGACGGGGACAATGTGTGTCCTGTTTCATAGGAAAGCTGCCCTGGCCATTCGAGTCCCTGTGATTTAAAAAAAAAAAAAAAAAAGATAATTTCTATGAGAAAAATATTCATGAACGAGAGAAAGACTGTCTTCTCAGAGCTCAAGCACAAGACCGTCTCCCTCGACCCCATTTCATCCTTTGCTGTGATCCTTCAAGGCCTCCTGCCTCTCTCTTTCCCTTGTACCTCTCCAATCTAGGCACCACTTCATTCCTGTTTGAGTGCAGCACTCCTTCCGGGATCCTCCTCCCGCTCGCCTCCCTGACTCCAGGTTGTTCATGTCCAGGGTGATGCTGCTCTGACCCTCATTGCCAGCAGCAGTCACAGTCTAAGCTCCTCTTGCAACCTTGCAACTTTTTAAAAATTTTTTCATGACTATTTCTCTGTGTAGCCCTGGCTGTCCTGGAACTCACTCAGTAGACCAGGCTGGCCTCAAGCTCAGAGATCTGCCTGCCTCTGCCTCCCTAGTGCTGGGATTAAAGGCATGCACCACCACTCGACTGCAGCCTCACTTCCTAATCAGAGTTCTTCCCTACAGTGCTCCAGGCACCATACTGGCTGCTAGAGATACATTTTAAAACTAAAAGTCTGTCCTGCCCTCATAGAACATCTCTTCCCATTGGAAGGTTGAGCATCCTGCCTTCTTGCGGGAAACCAACTCTTCTCTCCTCAGCTGCTCTCAAGCTGTGCTCCAGTCTGTGTGCTCTCAGGCTGTGCTCCGGTCTGTGTGCTCTCAGGCTGTGCTCTGGTCTGTGTGCTCTCCTCTGCAAACTGTCCAACCGTTCTTCCCACACTGACTCCATTCCCTTGGTTTCTTGATCACACTTCTGTGCATGATCCACCACACTAAGTAAGGTGCTTCTGCAGTTTAACTGTGTGCACAGTCTTTCTCCAGTAGCTGCAACAGTACCCAGTGGTCTAGTTTGTGGTTCAGATTAGTCACGGTATGACAGGGAAGACATTCAGTTGGTCCAAAGAGCACCAGAAGGGTGAACTTGGCTGTGACATCCTGTTGAGAATAGTCGTCTCCTGTAGCAAAACAAGCCTGCAACCTCTAGGAAGAGAGGAATGTGTAGACCTGGAACAGAAGAGGCCAGGTTTTGGGCAGCGGATGGGGTTTTCACTGGGGATCTGCAGCGTTGGTGTGTCCGTCCCCTTGACCAGGTTTTCTCTTTAGTCCTCACGCCCTGGCAGGCCACTGGTGTGGCTGACACAGACTGAACTTCAAATTGCTTTTGGAGTTCGGCTTCTGATCTACTGTTTGCATGTACTGTATCTTTTCTGTCATTTTATGTGTTCTCTGGCTGCACAAGGCTGGTCCACACTGAGGACACTTGGCCTGTGCTCACTCCTGTTTTCTAACTCCTGTCCTGCATTTACAGTCTTAAAGCTAAGCTGTTTCCAGCTACACTCCTCCCATACAGCTTGACACCTTGTCTTTACTGCAGCCCCACCACCACCATGGGGCCTTTCTAGCAGTAGTTTTAAGTGTATACTTTTGTCTTTTTTTTTTTTAAACAAAGTGTGCCAATTTGAAAATCCCCATGCAATAAGGTGGTTCATTACAGACTAGTGGCCACACTGTAGTTTTATCTTAGTAAACATGCAGTTAACGGGAATAACTAGACTTTTCCATACTAAAGTACACGCACGCGCACGCGTACACACACATTCAATGCAGTAGTATCTTTACAAAGGGAACCTGTGTTCTCACAGTTTTTGCTCCTCTTCAGAGATTCAAATGCAGCCTTTGAGCAATTTTAGAGGGAAAATGCTGCTCATTATAAGTTACGTCAATGTTACTGAAAGTGATACAGCTTCTAGAACATTAAAAGTAAATATTTTTGGTTGGATTGGAAACATCAGTGACTTACATAGTGTTGGTTAACAAACAAAGGCCATGTTTAGTCAAAATGCATGATAGCGCTTACTGTTTGTGCTCTTTGTACAAAATCAAGAAACAGTCTGTTGCACTCTGTTCTGAATCTCACTGACAGCCATCCATGCATTCTTGGAGGAGTCTTTTCAAAGTTGGGTACCCCCAGCCTGCTCAACAGAGAAAGCAGCTGCGTGCTTGTGTATGGCTGCAGAGCAGAGCGGGGTTTCAGCCCTCATTTTATCCTTTGTGGCTATCTGAAGCTGGGAAATGTGGACACAGTAGTATCAGCTCACAGCAGAACCACTGAAATGATGATGGACCCAGGGGTCCTGTCGGCCAGGGTTTCTGGAACATCCTTGGAGTTCTGGTCTCAGTCCAGTGTTATCAATTCTGTCAGTGTCTTAGAATTGCTGCTGCTTGCACAAATGTTATAAACATGGGACAATAGAAAGCTCGTCTGTGATGCCTGCAGATTGGATGACTGGGTTTTAAAAGGTATCCATAGACTAAAATCAACAAAATTCAAGGCAGTACTGTTCAAAACTGTCAAACTCAGAAAATAAGCAAATACTCCAAATTCAAAGAGATCTAACTGCCCATCCGAGATAGATACGAAGAGGAAAGCCTTTTGTGTAGAGCCTCTCGGGTTCCTGATGGTCACATTCCTAACTTAGAGCTCTCCCATTAGAGGTGTTCAGGCAACATTGGTTTTTATCTCTGATGGATTCAGAGAACTCTAATTGTGATAAATACGAAAATTATACTCACCTCCTAGGTGGATAATTGAGGCTGGACTATTTTCCTAAGTGATATGTTACATGTTCAAAGATCAGTCACTGTAATTGTATCAGGGCTGTACATTCTAATGAGTACATGAATATTGAATTACACTTAGCATATTAAATATGCATTATATGTGTATGCTGATAATTAGAGTGGAATTGTAATTATATACTTTAAAAGTCACTCAGAAGGTGCAACTTTTTAAGAAATAAAATGATTTATTTTGTCTAAAGTAAGTGTGTTTCATTAGGCAAAGCAGCTTTGAAATCCAGGAACTTGAGCCTGCGAGCCTGTGAGCTACAGAGCTGTGTTTGATATGGGCTTGCCTGCCGGGATGTAGCCTGCTCCCTCTCACAGTGGCCCTGGGAAGTAGAGTGGACCCTGAGGAGGCAAGTTCCATGTCCCTCCGAGGTTACCAATAAACAGCTAGCAAAGCCAAGGGCTGTAATCCCAGAGTGTCATCGACATCTGTGTCCCTAACTACTACTCAGCACTGTGCTGTAGTTCATTTTAAATTCTCGGCTGTAAGAGTCTCAGAGGCCTTTTCATTGTAGGTAAGGGACCCTGTAGCATTTTCTCCATATTGCTTTCCTTAGACGTCTCTGCAAGTTAGGAATGTAAAATTTTGTAATGCACTAGTCATAGGAGTTTTGTTTGTCTGTTTGTTGTAGGTCAACAACTATGACATCAGCAATGTGTCCCATAACTATGCCCGGGCCATACTTTCCCAGCCCTGCAGCACGCTGCATCTGACAGTGCTGCGGGAGAGGCGCTTCGGCAGCCGTGCAAACAACCATGCCGATGGCAGTGTGCCGCGGGACGAGGTCTTCCAAGTGCTACTCCACAAACGTGACTCCGCAGAGCAGCTCGGCATTAAATTAGTCCGAAGGACAGATGAGTCAGGTGTTTTCATTCTTGACCTCCTGGAAGGGGGATTGGCAGCGCAGGATGGCAGGCTCAATAGCAATGACCGGGTGCTGGCCATCAACGGACATGACTTGAAGCACGGGACCCCAGAGCTTGCTGCCCAGATTATTCAGGTCAGTGCCCAACACTGAGCCTGGATCATCACACAGCCATGTCTGTTTTCATTGGTGCATAACCAGGGCCAGCAATGTTTCTTGGGAAAATCAGACATGGTTATCTAAAAAGTAGTCTTCAAAATCCACACTGTTATATATAACGTCCCTAAATAGAGCCGTGTGTGTGTGTGTGTGTGTGTGTGTGTGTGTGTGTGTGTTCTGTTTATTTTAGGGTATTGTTGTTGACTGTTTTCCTGGAGCCTGTGCTCCCATGTACTTTGGAGCATCTGTACAGTATAAACACCTCAGCTTTACATCATTTCTAGAGAGCAGGGGTTCACTTCAACCAATAAGTTTGTCAAAGCAGTTTTCAAGGACAGTTGAAATACTGGTTTGGTGCTCTCAGTATTAACAGTAATGACAATGAGTGTATAAGAAAGGCCAGTAGCCACTTGACAGTCTCCACAGTGTGACGTAGTAATCAGAGCTCAGCGTTGTGAACAGCAGGGTTCTGTGACCTCAGCATTTACCTCTTAGACCCTGGAGATGCTGCTGATGTGGAGAATGACTTATAGTACAATATCAACACTGTTTATCACTTACTTTCCAATTGAACAGAAAATTAGGCATTTTTTATATTAAATTTAATTTTGCATGTATGTGCATGCATGTGTACAAGTGTGTGTGTATGTATCTGTGCATGTTTGTGTATATGTATGCATGTACGTGCATGTGCATGTACCTGTGCCTGTGTGTGCCTTCCATGGTGCACACAGAGATCAGAGGACAGCTGCAGTAGCTGGTTCTCTCCTTCTACTGTGGAGGTCCCAGGGATTGAACTTAGATCATCAGGCATTGCAGAAAGTCTCTTACCTGCTGAGCCACCTTTCCATCCCATGAAGGCATTTCTTAACATTGTTAATTTTAGTCACAGGCAAGGATTCTACTTCCTCTCACAGTTTCTTAAAGCAGACTGTCAGATCTTCCGTAGGAATAATAGTAAAGTTGGGGGTTGTGGTGATGACTGAACAGAAGCATTGGGTGATTCAGATGTACTTTAAAAAGCAAGGGCAACACGACCTTAGGTGTAATGTGTGTATGAACCTTCACTCGGACAGCAGGCTTCTATGTTTAAACGGTAGCTACCAGCCTTCAAATAATTTAAAGTCTTACTGTTGTTAAATCTATAAACTGATACAAAAGAATTTAACTCTTAAAGACCTGTGTGTGTGTATGTCTCTGTGTGTGTCTGTATGTGTATATGTGCCTGTGTGTTTATGTGTGTGTGTGTGTGTTTCAGTGTAAAAGGTTTGAAAATATTAGCCTGTGACCCTCCTGCCACTAGGTAGTGACTGCCCATGAGGCTTTGGTGAGGGGACTAACAAGTACACAGAAAATTACAGTGTCCCCAGGCATTGCACGATGGTAGTGTTCACTGGCCTGAGGCAGGAGCCTCTAGCCTTGGGTTACTCAGTGAGACCCTGCCTCGATGAGAGAGAAGAGAATGGGTTTCACTAGCGATCTTTAAGCCACAGACATCATTTGTGACAGGTAGTGATGAGTTGTCTTCTCCAGGCCAGCGGAGAGAGGGTGAACTTAACAATTGCCAGACCAGGGAAGTCCCAGCCCAGCAATGGCAGCCGTGAGGCTGGAGCACACAGCAGCAGTCATGCTCAGCCACCTTCGCACAGCCGACCAAGCTCACACAAGGTGAGAGTGGTTCTCCTTCGATCCCTGTCGCCCTCTAAGGATCACTGTTACACTGATAAGGTGTAAGTAAGCCTTTGTGTATGCCTGCCAGTCATAATGCAGTGTAAAGTTGGTTTTTTTGTTGGTTGGGTTTTGTTTGTTTTTTTGTTTTAAGCCTGAAGTGCAGGCTTGTCGTTCTGTTGGAAAGCTGAACCTAGGTGTTTGGGGTTCAGAATCTGAGAGTAGCCTCCCACATCAGCTACTGTAGTTTCTTGTCAAGGAGGCTTCCTCTGTCCCATGATTGACAAGAAGTGCCCTCCAGGATAATCCATGTTAGTGCTACTTGTAAGCAGGTTCTTCCCGGATTGCCTGTTTAAATGTGATCATCAGTTTTATGATTAAAAATAAATCATGAAAACGTGGTAAAGTCTGTGGTTAGTAGTTAGGCATGTTGTCTATAGTAACAGAATTAGCTGTGTGAACACTGAGGCTGGGAATCTTAAGGTTTGATAGCACATGGACAGTGTGTTTTTATGGTATTAAAATCCCCATTTATTGGCTGGGCAGTGGTGGCACACATCTTCAATCCCAGCACTCAGGAGACAGAGGTGGATGGATCTCTGTGAGTTCAAGGCCAGCCAGAGTTCCAGGTAAATCAGGACTACATAGTAAGACCCTGTCTCAAAAACAAAGAGCTTCGGTCCTCATTTAGGAGTAAGGCATAACGTCCCTTTATAACCACCCAGAACTGTCACCTTGTTTGCCTGTCTTCCTCGGCTGCATGTTGTTAATTATTAATTACCCAAGACCTTCCCTTGTACCGTAGGACCTCACTCGGTGTGTCACATGCCAGGAGAAGCATATCACTGTAAAGAAGGAACCGCATGAGTCCCTTGGGATGACGGTTGCTGGGGGCAGAGGGAGCAAGAGTGGTGAACTGCCCATCTTTGTGACCAGCGTGCCACCCCACGGCTGTCTTGCTCGAGATGGCAGGATCAAGAGAGGTAAGACAGGGTCCTGGAAGTTCAGCCAGGTCCCATCTCAGAAGTACAGTCACATTTTTAAGGAGTAATTACTGTGTTTCATGTTAAACTCGACTTTTAACAATCTTTTAAGGTGTCCTTGTATATAAAACATAGTGTTTTTCTGTAAGGTTAGGAATTAACCCTGATGATGGTTCAAGACTCTGCAGTTACTCAGACTGTTGGCTTGTTTTTATCTTGGAAAAGAGCCTCTGAGATTCTTTCACCTCCAGCCATGGCAAATAATGCTGAAGGCCATGTTACTAAAATACAGCACGGGTTATAATAAAGTGTCCAGGGCCAGTGCCAGTGTGATGGCCGAGCAGGTAAAAGCATCCAAGGCGGATGACGTGAGTTCTGTCCCCAGAACTCAACAAGGAAGACAAGAGATTCCGAAGGTTGCCCTCTGACCTCATGCAGACATCATGGCTAGTGTGTCAAGGACTCGAGAGAAAGGGGGCAGAGGACAAAGCTCGTTTCAGAGATTTGACTTCTTCACATTTCACGTTCCTTCTCAAGCCTGTTAAGGAAAACATAAAGTTGAACAATGTTGTTGTGATAGAATAGCAGTCTCTGCTGATGAGGTTCATATGGGAAGAAAATTGAAGCTGAAAAGTTATTTCCCCAGGAACGAGGGTAGGCTTCCACCCCAGCCTCACAATGGCTAGCTCACAGTGAGTTTAAGACCTGACATAAGGCTAAAGGACATGTGAGAAGCCCACATGCGAAGTCTTGTACCTATAATTAGGCAGCAATGTCTTAGGTAACCCACAGAGTGGGGAAAACATTTACAAGTCCTACATTATGTAACGTGTACATGGCATATCAAGGAATTGTAAAGAACTTTTCCAAATCAGTTAAAACCATAAATTACCTAATTTAGGGACAGAAATAGGCATTTCTCCCAGGAAGGTAATCACATAGAATACCGCTCACCACAACTGCTTACCAGAGGCAGGGTTCAGATGCCCTCAGACTGCTCTAAAGTGTCTTAGGGCATGGTAGTGCTGCTTTGTGGCCAGTACTAAAACCCACAGCGCTGGGCGTGTATTTCAACAAGGCTACTATTTTTTCTTAAGTTACTTGGCCAGTTATAGAATTCGGTGACAGTTCAGTTCCTTCTTGGGTTTTGTTGTGGCGCATGCATGTGGAACGACTTCTAAGTTTGTTTGTTTTTTTTGAATTCACAGCTGTTTGTTTATTTTTGTAATGCTCTCAGAAATTGAGTTATACAAAATAACAATCCAAACCCCACCTTTCCTCAAGGACTATACAAAAGGATTGGTTTTGTGACAGCCACTCCTTCACTAATAAGTGGCTCCCAAGTCAAGCTATTGTGGTCAATATGTTCTCGCTACGTGCTCTGCCCTCAAGATTTGCGCTCTGCCTCCAGATGCCCCGCCACCTCTCCAGGCTGCACCAAACAATGAAAGCTAACAGGGACATCGGTGCCCTAGACTGCAGTGGGCTCTGAGCATAGGTTCACAGGCCAAACGTTCTGCACAACAGCAAAAATAAACCAAACACCTGATACAGAATTCACATAGGAAGTACAATGAAGAGAAAAAGAACCACAGACTCACAGCTTAACAAGCTCCAGGTCCTATGTTCTCTCTATCCATTAAGAAGTCCAGCTGTCTGAGCATCATAAACATGGTGACTTTTTTTGCTGAGCCTATAAAAAAAAAATTAACTATTTCCCCTTAACATAATAATGAATGTGTAACTTAAAATGACATACAAGGTCTTATTATTTATTCATTCATTCATTCATTCATTCATTCATTCATTCTTCTCTTGCGCAAGTCATTCCAACCAAAGTTTTCCCTTCCTCCATTCTTCCCAGTTCCTCTCCCTGCCTCACCCAGATCCACCCCTCCATTTCCCTTCAGAAAAGAGCAGGCCTCCCAAGGGGTAGCAGCCAAACACAGCCTAAGAAGATCCAGTAAGACTAGGCACAAAGCCCTCATATCAGGGCTGGGCGAGGCAACCCAGTCAGAGGAAAAGGGCCCCAAGAGCAGGTAAAAGAGTCATAGAAACCCTGACTCCCACTGTTAGGAGTCCCACAACACCACCAAGCCAGGCAACCATAACATATGCAGAGGACATAGAGCGGACGCATGCAGGCCCTGTGATTGCCACTTCAGTCACTGTGAGCCCATATGGGCCCTGCTTAGTTGATTCTGTGGACCTTGTTCTCCTGGGGTCCTCCATGCCTCTGGCTCCTACAATTCTTTCTGTCTCTCTTCCTTGGGGTTTCCCGAGCTCCATGGGAGAGAGACCTGATGGACGTCTCCAATTTGGGCTATCTCTCCGCCTAATGTTTGGCTGTGGGTCTCTACACCTGTTCCCATCGGCTGCTGGAGGAAGCTTCTCTGATGACAACTGGGCTAGGCACCCATCTGCAGTTGGGCGGCTGGAGTAGCCTCTCCCAAGTTTTCAATAATGAGAATCTGTTGCTTTCACAATTTCAAAGATTAGCCAGGTGATGGTGGTGCATGCCTTTAGTCTCAGCACTTGGGAGGCAGAGGCAGACAGATCTTTGAGTTCGAGGCTAGCCTGGTCTACAGAGTGAGTTCCAGGACATCCAAGGCTACACAGAGAAACCAAACCAAAACCAAACCAAAGTGAAATCTGAAAGATGGATGATGATTAAAGGGGAGGCTTTCTGTCGCCGTTACAGCACAGGAGCACTGCCCGATGGCTCTGACCCTTCCTAGCCGTTACAGCACAGGAGCGCTGCCAGACGGCTCTGACCCTTCCTAGCCCATCTGTAAGAGGAGACGCATTGTCACCAGCCTGCATAGATCAAAGACACACTCTGCTTATTTTACTTATAAGCCCTAAGCCTAGGTTGGGCTAACTTATTCCCCAGCCACATGTCCCTCATCACTTGCTGTTTCTCCTGGCCACATGCTCATGGTCTATCTCCTCTCATGGCAGTCTCCTCCTCCATGTTCTTTCTTCTCCTCCCTTTGGTCTCTCCTGAGACTCTTCACTCCATCTTCAAGTCCCACCTTTCTCCCTCTGCCCGATCACCGGCTCTGGCTGGCCTTTCATTGACCAGTTACATTGGGGAGCAAGGTTCACATAGCATCACTTGGTGTACGTGAGGATCTGCTCATGGGGGCAACCATGTCTTAGGGACCAGTGTTTAGCGTTTGAATATATAGCAGCGTCAGACCAACCCACTACACTTGTATCTTTTAATAATCCCTGTGCCTCCTTTGTATTGTTTTATTTTATCTTATTTCATTTAACTTGGGAGACCAACAAACTTGTTGTTCCCCTTCAACCAAGGGAAGAAGATGTTCAAATCATGTTTCATTTCACTAAGTGCCCGAGGGTGACTGCTCTCATAGTCTGGCATGTGAGCCCTGAGCAGGGCTGCTTCTGTATATAAAATAGAATCTGTTAAAAAGTTATTTCTAGGGGCACAGGAGCAGATAGTTAGGTGTTCAGAAAGAAGTGTAGAGCTCTCTAAAGCTCAAGAGAGAAGCGGCATGCTCACCGTGTGCACAGCTATGCAGGTAGTGATTCAGACTCAGGGACCCACAAGGTGCTTCAACCAGTTTGTTCTCTGCAGTCTGGCCTTGTTTGACTTTTGAGCTATTTTAGAACATTTTCTGTGAGTTGTCCTCGGGAGTCCAGAAAAGTACAAGGACGTAAAAACCCATCTCCACCCATCGAGGCTCTTGAGCTGTCCCGTCGAGGCAAGCAAGCCCTTCTGGGAGTCAGGTGGCACTCTGGTCACGCACTCTTCTGCCTTCCCACCCGCACAGGTGACGTGTTACTGAACATCAATGGCATTGACCTGACCAATCTAAGTCACAGCGAGGCTGTGGCCATGCTGAAAGCCAGCGCTGCATCTCCGGCTGTCATCCTCAAAGCCCTGGAAGTCCAGATAGCCGAGGAAGCAGCCCAGGCCACCGAGGAGCAGCCAAGCACTCTCAGTGAGAATGAGTACGACGCCAGCTGGTCCCCGTCCTGGGTTATGTGGCTCGGGCTGCCAAGGTACCAAGAGCTCAGTTTGTTGTCTCACAGAATGGTCATGTTTTAATGTTTATCAGTTACACAGTTAACTCTCCCGGTGCATAGAAAGGACATTAATTAGGTAAAGTACACTGAATTATAAAAGCAAAAAAAGTTTTAGGTAGATTTAGTAACAACTAAACTAAACGTATTTGTATCTTCTTGTAAAAAGAAGACAATTCCCATTAAGGAGGGGATTTTTTGTTTATTGTTTTTTGTTTTTGTTTTGTTTTGTTTTGAGGGGGACAGAGAGTGCACTTGTACACAGGCTGAGATTATAGGCACACACCATCCTGGCTTTTCTGTTTGGGCTCTGGGGATCCAGATTCAGATCCTCACACTTGGGCAGGAGGCATTTACCTCTGAACCAGCTTTCCTTGAATAGGCAGAATTTTGAGTTTCTGGGGCAGGATCTCACTCTGTAGCCCAGGCTAGCCAGGAACTTATGATCATTTTATAAAAAGGCAGTTAGAACTCAGTCTATATTGAACAAAGGAAACATGACCAGCAAGATGCTCTCTGGCTGGCTGATGGGGACCAGGGAAACATTGGAGCATCCCTTGGCACCCCAGGCTGCTTGCCTTTCTCCAGATAGCTGATGCTGGTGCTGAGATAGGAAGAGTGTGTTGCTGTGTTTATTTGTGTCTAAAGTAACTTAGATTCTCATTATCTATAAAAAGCATTGTGAAGCATATTTGACTATTAGCCAAGTATGAAGCTGAGGGTTCTTAAATAAAAATAAACCAGAAAAATGCACCAGTCTCTGAGTCATCTGCCTCCTGTGGAGTAACTTACAGCGAGGAGTGTTCACACACACTGTATGCTTCGTGAAGAACTGTCACACGAAGAACAGCAAGCACGGCATACGGGACATACGGATTGGGCTTATTTGCTCCTAACCCAGCTTCCAGGCTTCTTCCCATGAGCTTTTGTTGGTTTTGTTTCTTGTTTTTTAACCCCAAGGCCTAGAAGTGATGTCTTACAGACATGGCAGGACCTTGCGGAGTGGGATTGATGACAGCAAAAGTGACCTTACTGTGTCATGCATGTTTATCAATGCCCCAGACCTGGGATTCAGAGGCTGGAGAGAGGGCCCCTGGTGTGGTTCCCAGCACCCCAGTGGCCGCTCACAACTGTCTGCAGGTTCGGAGGATACAGCACCCTCTTCTGGTCCCCATTGGCACTGTACATGTATGGCACATATACATACATGTAGGAAACAGCCATTTACATGGAATAATAGTGAATCCTTTTTGAAACCAGGCATAAAGGATTACTGTCCAAGTGCTGCAGAGCTACTGTCTGAACTGGAGACTAGAACTCTTGTTCAGCTGGTTCCTGGGTAGTCAGGTTCATCCGAAAGTGCTTAACAGAAGGCGCTGGACGCTGGAGACAAAGGCAGCCTTTGTTAACCTGAGGCCAGCCTGCTCTACATAGTGAGTTACAGGACAGCCAGGACTATTCCGTGGGATTCTGTCTCAAAAAACAAACAGCAAAAAAGAGGATAGAAGCTGTTTGCCCAAACTATGGGGGTTCAGTGCGTTGCCTCCGACAGTGGGTCAGTCAGAGTAGTGACCTCCTGGGAAATCTCATGGCCCTGCTGCCGCCTTTAACTATCTTTGTGCCAGCCTGGTCTGGGGGCTGCGTGTTCTCACTGTTGTTCATAGTGTTTTATGGCATGCCAGACACCAGGCATAGCAAGAAAGGATTTGTGTCGTCTGTATGTGCATGTGTGTGTATGTTTGTGTCTGTATGTATCTGTGTGTTTGTATCTGTTTCCATCAGTGTATGTGGTGTGAGGGTGTGTGTGTGTGTGTGTGTGCAGGAGCACAACTGTGTGTAGTATGTAGAGGCTGAAGATCAACATCCTCTGTCTTCCTTGACCACCCTCCACCTTTGCTTTTGAGGTGGCATCTCTCACTGAACCATTTGGCTAGACTGGTAGCCAGTGATCTTTTGGGGTCTCCCTAGCTCTGCTGCCTCTCCTCCATGCCCCAGCACTGTGATTGCAGATGTAGGTTACTCCTTGTACTGCTTTTTTTTTTAATGTAGGCTCTGGGAACCAAACTTGGTTACAAACTTGTAGCTTACACGGCAAGAACTTAAGCAACTGAGCCAACCCCTCTGCTCAGGAAGGATTTTGGACGAGTGATAGTATAGTAAGACATTTTTGAGCTTAGCTGAATGGATACCTACCTGTAAGTCAGGCTGTTGTGTGGGCTGTGAGTTCCCCTGCACTGCCTTGCTACAGCAGACGCTGGCCTGCTTGCTCTAAAGGATACAGAACTGCAAAGGTGACTGCACTGTCCTGAGAATCTGAGCCAGTGGCGAGGCTTCAGTGCTTGCCAGAAGCCTCTCTAGAAGCTCCCACCCATGAGCTAAGAGTTCTGGCACCATGCTGCTTTATAAACCCAGCTCTGTTAGGACGTTATAGTGGATTAAAAAACAGAAAGCCATGCCCTTGATATTGTATTAGTCCATGTCATGACAAACATCTGACAAAAGCCACATGAGGAGGAGAAAAGTTTCCTTCACAGTCTAGTCCTCTGGCCATCGTGACAGGGTAGTGCTGAGCTCTGAGGGAGGGACCCAAGGCAGATAGTCACATGACATCCTGAGGCAGCAGAGGTGACTACTGGTGCTCAGGACACCTTCTCTTTGTCCCTTTTTATTCAGGGTGGGACCGTGGGATGGTGATATCCACATTCAGGGTGGATCTTCCCCGAGATGTGTCTCCCAGGTAATTCCTGACCCAGTCAGGTTGATGATGAAAATCACTGCATATCTGATTTCAGTTCATACTAAAGACTTTTATTAGAAGGATTTCACTTTGTTTATTTTTAAGCTCTTACTTGCTGCTTTTCCCAGACTCATAGACCTCTAGTCATACAGGTGTATTATGTCCCCTCCCTCCTTGGTTAGCACTCTCCAAACCATAAATAGACAGCACTTTGCCTGTAGCATCTCTGTGCTCATGGAGAACAAGAATGTGTTTGTTAGAGTCTCCTGTAAAGGTGTGAGTCCTTGTAGGTGCAAGGGTTGCGGGGGGAAAACATCAGCCCCTCCTGTAAATTAAAGCACTGCCCTGTAGCATGCTTCCAGAAAGGGCCACCATCCAAATTTCCCTCTGTCCCCTCTTCTCTCCCTTTTCCTCCTCTTCTCTTATTTTTGGGGCACTGGGGATTACCTAGGATCTCGCGGTTCTAGCCTGAGCTACCTCCTGCACAGCCTTGTACCCCACTGCCTGCCACCCCTCTGCCGGGAACAGCAGTACTGCCTCCGTCATGCCCTTGGTAGGTGCAGTTAGTTCTAGAATCGAGGTGCCATTGACAGTGCTGTGAACAGTACCAGTGCATGATCTCTGTGCAAATGTCTAAGGTATACTTGGCAGCCAGGCTGACTTAACCTTCCTCCATGTGTTCATGTCTCCACTTGGCAAGAGAAGCCTAAGGAAAGCTGGAGAAAGCAAGCCTGTCTCGGGATACATCCGTGCTGGGGAATGGCTTGTCAAACTAATAACACAGACAGGGCCAGTACAGCTTGCCTAGCACTTGTGGGAGCCTAGGTCTGATCCCTAGTGCACTTGCGTGGACACACACACACACACACACACACACTAATCATGCAGTTGGAGGGAGTTAAGCTAGCCTGTGTATCTCTTGTGTGTGGCAAAGTTGAACAGAGCGGGAAGCCTCCATGTTCGATCTCTGCTGTTTTCACAGTGCCCTTCATAGCTGTCACGATATAGTCTTACGAAGAAGCTACTTGGGAAGCTGGGGCTTCAGTATCGTGGGCGGATATGAAGAGAACCACACCAATCAGCCTTTCTTCATTAAGACCATCGTCTTAGGAACCCCTGCCTACTATGATGGAAGATTGAAGTAAGTGTCCTTCTCATAAATGATGTAGATCGTGTGTATCATACCACACATGCTCTAACTCAGAGTTCAGCTCTCACGCCTGCTCTCTGTTGTGTAAATAGAGTGTTATTTCTACACAGCCGCGCTCATTCATGTGCTGGCTGTATGTGTCTACTTACAGTCCCTCTGTACTGGAGACTGTACGGACGGGCCACAGGAAAAGTCTGCTAATCCCTCAGTGAGTCTGAGGCTATTGCTTTTACCCTTCCTGCCCTTGGAGCTATATTACATTTGTCTAGACCAGATCTGAACCCAAGTCGTCTAATTGAGTGTGCTGGGGAATGACAGTGGCCTCCGAGCACTTCCCATACAGCTCCTGCAGGGCTCATCCTGCCACCAGATGAATCCAGCTCATGTTTCCTGAGGCTCCATGCCTGCCTGACTTAGTGTTCATGTGAAGTCTATGAATGGGCAACCATACAGTGTCTCACGGGTAGTGAGGATTCAACAAATGGATGACTGTGGCCCACCTTAGAGCCGGCAGGCCCACCACTGAGAGCTGTGTGTTTTCTTATTTAATGGGTGTGTGTAGTGTATGCACATAAGTACCGGTACCCATGAAGGCATCAGATCCCCTGGAACTGGAATTATAGACAGTTGTGAACTGCTGGGGACCAAGCCCAGGTCCCTGAAAGAGCGAGTACTCATGCCATGAGCCGTCTCCCCAGCCTTGACTTGGTCCTGTTTAGAGAAAAGGACTCACAAGCGAAGTTATTCTTCATGTCCTTAAGTCCAATTATAGGAAGGTTGACTTGGGTGAGTTTTGATTGGTAAAGGAGACTCCAGACATTTCTCAATTGATAATACTCCTGCCCGGTGACAGTTAACCAGAGCTAACTGATCTTGATGCTGAACCACTAGGACTGTGTCTATGATGCCGTTGCGATAATGGCACTAACTCTGCTCCTGACTGTGTTTTTGTCAGGTGTGGAGACATGATTGTAGCCGTCAATGGCCTGTCGACTGTGGGCATGAGTCACTCTGCTCTGGTTCCCATGTTGAAAGAACAGAGGAACAAGGTCACTCTGACAGTCATCTGCTGGCCTGGCAGTCTCGTATAAAGTCTTGACGTTGGGTTCCAGTCTCGATTCTTCCTGCAGGCTTGTGAAGGAAGCCCCTCCAGTGTGGCATGTCTACTGGTCAGCAGACACAGGGCCGAAGCACTGGCGTCACCCTGTGTTTCCTCTTTGCTCAGAAATCAGCTCCTGCCAGCCCTGGGGGCTCATATTTCAGATGCTCTCCGCGGGCTGGACGGAAGTGGTTCCTGTGCCTGCAGTAGGTCAGTCATGAACTCAGTTATATTGGCAACTCCTCCATCCGCAGCAACTCCCTGCAGCATCCGCAGCGCTCTCTGACCTGGAAGCAGTGCTGTGAAGGGGCGCATCTTAGCTTTTCCTCACGTTTCATTGGTGCCAACATTTCAAGATTTTTTTATACCATTTATAAAATGACTTTTTGGTTGGTTCTACTGCAATCTTCAGTACTCAAATGAAGACATAAAGCTGACACCCCTGATGAGACTTCTTTTTAAATAATGTACTGTGGTTAAAATAGTAGAGATTCAAAAATAATGCTATTCAAGGAACAGAGCGGCCTGGGAGACGACCTCTGGAGCTGGCAAAGCTGCATTGCCTGGACCAGAAGCACAGGATTCTGTTCAAAAGGAGAAAGCTTTGCTATGAGGAAAAGTTCGGAGATGTTTTTCTAAAAGTCATTTCTAGAGTTTATATTTATCAACAATCTTGTCTGGAGATGTTTTTGTGATTTATGCAGTTGAACTAGGTGATTAAAAAACATTACTTCGTAAACACACACACACACACCACAGCTCAGTTGAAAGGGAGCCTTTGACTTTTGTTCCTGTGTATTTTAGAAGCCCTTAGTTTCCCCAAGAGACCAAAAAGCTCTGGTTTTATTTTTGTTTTTAATCTGAAATAGTAGACTTTAGTTGTTAATATCTTCAGCTGTTGCTCACTAAACTTTCTTTTTCTTTCTTTCTTTCTTTTTTTTAATGTTTTGAAAACTATGTTTGTCCTTTATTCAACACAGACGACCCTCAGACCGCGTAATGAGAAAGTAAATAAGAAGAAAGAGATCTTTACCTGGTTAATATTTGTACTTGAAAAGTTTCATTTAGAAACCTCATTGAGAATCAGAGCTAACGTACACGTGAGCTCAGAGGTGGATGGCATTGATAATCACATGCTGCATGGCCGGGCGAGCCACTTCCTTAGCCAGCACTGCTGGGCTTTGTAGCCATGTCACTGGTTCTTCCAGTTCAATTTATATTAAGAAACCAAACAGGTCTCCCTGTGATAGATAAAGAGTTGACAACTATGGTTGCTACTGGCTTGTTCAGCCCGGAGCTCCCGAGTCACCATCCAGCCAGCCCACCAAGGGAGGGATGTCCCCAGGTGTAGTGCTGCTCTGGGAAAATCGCCTAGGAAGCAACTTGATCCTGAAGTGCAATTGATGTTGAACAGTGTCTCCTGCTCCCCAGATACAGTTTTGTAATCAACCTTGCTACTTTTTAAAGACTTTGTAAAACTTGTCATTTCTCTGGGGGGTGGCCATCTAATAGATATCTGCCACTTTGTTATACATAAAAATACATCTAACCTGGTGGTCTGGTGAATATTTTTTGAGAGAGAGAGAGAGGGGGAGAGGGAGAGGGAGAGGGAGGGATAGAGAGAGAGAGAGAGAGAGAGAGAGAGAGAGAGAGAGATTCTTTCCATATTATTTTTCTCATGCAGGGTCTCTGTAATGGAATTTCTCCCTGATCTGTTACTGTTGAAATATTTGCACTTTGTCAGTTAACCACTTGCAGTTGAATATTTTGATTTGTTCTATGCCTTCAGTTTGCATTCTTCCAGAATTTTTCAGGTCTGTTTACATAAAGGTGTGATGGCCATTCTGGATGGAACTAAATGCCATCTGAGAGCTGTGTCCCTATTCACAGAGCCATGGACAGTCACTGCCTGCTGTACCCGATCCCCTACCCCCCCCCACACACACACCCATCTCGCCCTTGCTCCTGCAGACAGAACACACCACAGAGCCTATGCTGTCTTATGTATCTCCATCCACAGTACCTCTGGTCCTTGGCTGTCCAGTGTGTGGCTACTGAATCCCTAAAGCTTGGCCACGCAGTGTGCTGAGCTAACAGTGTTTGGGATGCACTGGGTTATACTGGGTTACATAGGATACATTATTACCAGTTTCTCTCTTACTTTTTCTAGTGTGACTTACTAGAACCATTTTAAATAATTGAATTGTAATTACATCAGGAGCCTGCCTCATGTGTCCTTGGCACAGCATTCACCGTGTCAGTCAATCCTGACCTGTGGCTTCTGTTTCTTCTACTAGTTAGCCCATTGGCTCTGGGGAGGGTCACTAACTGCCAGGCATCCTCACACTGAGGATGTGTGCTGTCTGACATTTGGTTCTGTCACACTGAACCTTACTGTGTCTTCATTCTATATGAAGCCTCTGGGGGACAGCCCATTGGACTCTTACAACTCCTTCTGTGGCAGATCCACAATGTGACTCGCCTAGAATATAGACCAGTACTCTCCCTACAAAGAGTGACCAGAGGCAGTCCAGGAGTTGACAGTGTGTTCCAGCCTGAAGGAGCAATTTCATAAAAGGCCAGGATTTTATGAACAGCCTCACATTGCCCAGGTTCTGAGAGTGAAAGGTCACTAATATAAGTTTTCCTTCCCTAGCAAGGGAGCATGTAGTTTGACAGACTACACACACCAGCTTTTGAACTTCATTAGCCCACCAGAGAACTGGATGGAGGGATTGGCAGGTGTCCTCAGCTTTCTTTTATCATAAGACAGGCAAGCCGCCCACCTTAAAAGAGGAATGGTTCATTTGGGCTCACAGTCCCAGATTTCAGGCTGCGGTAGGTTGGGCTGTCGCTTTGATGCCTGTGTGAAGGCAGCATATAAGGCATGCATATATTGTGGTTGGCATGGTGCTGCTTGCTTCACATCAGGATGGTAGCAGGAAAGGACAGGACCAAAGTCCCAGCATCGAGGTCCCACCAATGCCCCACTTGTTGATGATTCTGCTACCTCACACAGTAGCACGGGAAGCCGGGCACCACATGGCTAAGGGCACTTGAGCCTCTGAGGATGCTTGCCCAAGCTAAAAAGAAATGGGTTTCATTTTCTTGAGTACTGTGCAGTGTACCTTGGTTTTTGAGTGGCCAAATCCTCCCTCTGCTCCAGTTGTTAACTCTTTACTTTCTAATTCTGGAACTTGAGACTTTGATTTCTAGTCCTTTGCATTTTGCAGCAGGCTGCAGTACAATCCCTCAGATAGCTGAAGCTTTAGTCGGATAAATGGATGGTTAAACTTGAAAGTTTGCACACCTGGATCTCAGTCTCCAAGGGCGTTTCTCCCCTTTCCTCGAGCCATGTGCCCACATTACAGTCAGTAATGCCCCGTTTAGATTTAGCTGGGTTGTGGTTTGAAAATCTTTGCTTCAGAGTTGAAGCAAAAAGGATATTCTTGTTTTGTAAAATTTTTTCTGCTTTTGTGTGTTTTTGTGTCTGTGAATATGTACATGTATGCTGATGCCCAAAGGGGCCAGAAGGTGTCTGACATCCCCGCCCTAAACCCACCCCTTGTTGGAGTCCTAGGCATCTGGCAACTGCCTAGTGTGGGTTCTGGGAATTGAATTCACTCCTCTGCAAGAGCAACAAATGCTCTTAACCACAGAGCCACTTCTCCAGCCCACAATAAATAGACATTAAAAAATTACAGGTGGCCAGGTATGGTGGCACACGTTTTTAATCCCATCACTCGGGTGGCAGATGCAGGAGGATCTCTATGAGTTTGATGCCAGCCTGGTCTACATGGCAAGTTCTAGGACAGCCAGGGCTATACAGAGGAACTCTGTCTCAAAAAAAAAAAATATGAAAGGTGGAATATTTAAGGTATGTGATACCTTTCTCTACAGCCAAAGCCTTATGTCATTAAACAACATATTTAGCATCTACCGGGCATGCTGTAGTGAGAACCCTGCTCTGAATGACCTTCACAGGGAGTGATTTTTTATAATTCAGCTTTTTTCCCCCATTTGATCAGATTTAGTGATCAGGCCATACAGACCATAGTAACGAGGGGAACTTGTCTCCTGAGTCTGTTCACACACACACACCCGCGCCTGCAGGAAAGGTTTCAGCCCTTGGGAGTTCTTATCTAAAAGCTCTTCTGTCACTTTGTAGCGTAAATCTGTTCCATTTAACTGCACCACCAATTAATTTCTATGGCAACAGAGAAGCTCTTTAGAAGTAAAGTTGTACGTCTCTGTGCAATGCCTAATAGCTACAAAGTGCCTGAGACAGAGAAGCAACACTGTCAATCACATCCAAGAAAGGTCTGTGCCAAGAGACCTAATGCTGCTGTGTGGTGTTGTCAGAGTGTGCCTCCCTCCAGCCTGAAGCTGCTGCAGCTCAAGGCTCCTCAAGGTTTCCCACAGGCTGTTTTTGCAGACTTGGATTGCAAGACATTTCCACTTAACTCAGTGAATCAAACCACAACCCATTTCTTTTGTGCTATTCAAAGACTGACCAAGAGTGCTCAAGTCAGAAGCATCGATGGCTTCCTCACTGACCACCAGAAGTGACAATTGTCCTATGGCAAGATGGAGAAAATGGGTGTGGCTATTAATTTTGTTTTATTTGCATTACTGCAGATATGTAACTGACTCCCATACATGTTAAGCAAGTACCCGACCACTGAACTACACTGCCAACTCCATTCTTAGTCTTTATTGTTTAATAGACTTTAAAAATTACTTTAACACTTTCATATATGTGTGTGTATAATGTATATTGATTATATTACCCACCCCTCCATTACTGCTTATCTCTCTTCCACCTCCCACTGAACTTCCCAATAAATTCCCCCTCCCATGTTTTTTAGGGGTGAATGTTCTCTATTGCATTTAATTAGGGTTGATGGCATGTGAATCATTCACAGGAGCAGGCTCACCTGTGGCCACATGCTGAGCAGTATGACTCCCCACTCCGACCCCAGCCACCTCAGGGAGGTGTGGGGCTTCTGCTTCCCCTATTTGCAATGGAATATTAGTGGGCCTCCAACACTGTGCATTCATGGATTCAACCAGCGCATCATCTCTGGAAGGCTCATCTCAACAGTGGTCCACCCCAGCCACCAGCCCCTCTGCTCACTAACCACTCCTGTGTGCTGATCCTTGAGCCTTGGAGGGGCTTGACTCTTCATCTCCAGACAGGGTCTCAATAAATTGCCCAGGCTGGTCTTGAACTTTTATACTCCAGGCAGGCTTTAAACTTGACGTCTTCCTGCCTCAGACTCCTGACTACCTGAGCTTACAAGCCTGTGCCTCCATGCCTGGCTAAAATAAAAAGTTTTTGTTGTATCATAGTTTAATTGTGTTCTGAGGCCATGAAAATGTGTGTTTGTTGTGAGCTAATGCCCCAGGGAAACAACACCAGAGTAGCTGGATAGGCTTGTGCCCTGTATAGGCTTGTGCCCTGTTTAGGCTTGTGCCCCTGTGTAGGCTCGTGCCCCTGGGCTCGTACCCCTGTATAGGCTTGTGCTCTGTGTAGGCTTGTGCCCCTGCATAGCAGTCCTGAGTGGCTTCAAGGCCTTTAGTCCAAGAGCTCAGGTTCCTGGACTGACATTGTGGTAGCTGTGAGCTATACTACGTCCATATTAAGGTAGGTAGGCACCCATGGCAGGTGGGCATGCACACTGCAGCCATACTGACCCTGTGGGCAATTAACATACACTTAAGGAAAACTGGGTAAGTCATACTGAAGGATGCGGCATCCAGTCCTCCATGTACCCAAGATCTCAGGTCACCGAGCTTTATGAATCTCATTAACTTCCAAGTGAATGTGTTTCATGACTGTGACCTGGCTCCTTTATTCCAGGCTTTTCCACTCGTGGATATATCTAATTGTAAATAACTGCTTATAGTAATGATCTGTCCTGGCCGTCTCTTTCTGCTAGATGGTAGAATTGTAGAGACTACTATCATTTATGAAAAGACAAGTCACAAACTTTTTTTTTAACTCAATATTTTCTTTTGTTAAAAATTCATTATTTAAGCCGGGCGGTGGTGGTGCACGCCTTTAATCCCAGCACTTGGGAGGCAGAGGCAGGTGGATTTCTGAATTCGAGAGTTCGAGGCTAGCCTGATCTACAGAGTGAGTTCCAGGACAGCCAGGGCTACACAGAGAAACCCTGTCTCGAAAAACCAAAAAAAAAAAAAAAATTCATTATTTAAATATATATTTAATATTTGTGCATATGAATACAAGTGCCCACAGAAGAGACCAGAAGTGTCGGATCTCCTGGGCCTAGAGTTACAAATTGTGAATTGCCTGATGTGGGTACTGAGAACTGAACCTGGATCCTTTGCAAGAAAGAGTATGTGAGCCATCTCTCCAGCCCCTCAATAACTTCTTACCATCTACTATATACCAGGCACTGTCCTAGTGCTTTTACATCCATCCATTTCCAGGCAGAGCTGTTGAGCTGTCTGACCAGGAAGGAAGGAATGAAGGAAAGAAGGAAGGAGGGAGGGAGGGAGGGAGGGAAGAAGGAAGGAAGGAAGGAAGG